GCTCCAGGCTCTGAGCTGGCAGTCAGCACAGAGCCCGACGCGGGGCTCGAACCCACGAACCGGGAGATCATGACCTAATCGAAAGTCGGACGCTTAACCGACTAAGCCACCCAGGAGTCCCTTGTTTTGTTTGTTTGTTTGTTTGTTTTTTAATAATTTATTGTCAAGTTGGTTTCCATATAACACCCTGTGCTCATCCCCACAAGTGCCCTCCTCCATGCCCATCTCCCCCCACCCCCCACATCCATCAGTCCTCAGTTTGTTTCTCAGCATTCAAGAGTCTTTCATGGTTTGCCTCCCTCCCTCTACCCCACTATTTCCCCCCTTCTTCTCCCCCACGGTCCTCCGTTAAGTTCCTCCTAATCCTCCTATATGTGCAAACATATGGTAGCTGTCCTTCTCTGCCTGACTTATTTCACTCAGCATAACACCCTCAAGTTCTCTGGATGGAATCTTTGAAGATGAGAGATGCTAAAGTGAGGGGCACTCCCTTCAGAGTGGGGGAAGCTGAGGGGGCATCAAGGAAAAGGGCAAAGAATGTGAACTAGGCAGCAGGAAACCTGGCTTCTAGAGCCACCGAACAAAATTACATGGGAACTTGGGCTTATCCTATCCAACCGCCATTTTACAAATGGGAAAACTGAGGGCCGGGGAGGGGAAGGACCTGGCCCACGGTCCCTCAGCATTTTCACTTAAAACCAGCAATGCACTGAGAGTCAGGAGAGATCTGCCTTCAATGCATGATTCTGCCATTAGCTCCCCAGTGACCCTTCTCCAACCATTAGGCTCCCACTCTTATAAAATAACCCTAAAGATGGGTCGTGACTCAAAGACTCCGATGGTGCCTATGGACCTTTCCCAAGATCAAGGTACACTCTCAAAATTGTTCATGCCATTTCAGAAGTTCACGAACACTAGATACCAACATTCTCCAAGAGCGATCTGAGAACCCTTGGTGTCATAGTCACCTTGACGAGGAATCTGTTAAAACAGGCTGATTCCAAGGCCCCACCATGGATCCCACCCTCCCAGGAAGCAGCTGAGTTTGAATCGTTGGATGAGTCTTAGAAGCTCCTCTTTGCTACTCTTGGAGGAGAAAATTTGAGAAGGCCTGCCTTAAGGAACCCTCAGAGGAGGGGGTAAGGGGTGAGGTGCGGAACCACTCTCCTTTTAGCTGTCTCACATACTGAACTTCTGCTTCCTTGCCTATGAAGAGAGGGCTCTGTGTCTTGAAGGTTTAAAGCCACTGTTCATTAATCAAAGTTCCTTCTGGTTGAACTACCTGTTCAAGCTGACCATGATCATGGTCATGATGGGCCCAGCAAGCTGATGGAAGCTCTCCAGATCCTGAAGCGACATTCTGAGATTAGCAGCCCTGCCGGTGAGGGAGTCTGAACTCCAGGGCTGAACTTGGAGAGAGAGGTTCCCTATCAGCCCCAGCCTGCAGATTCCTTTCCTCTCTCTGGAGTGTCTTGTTCTGGCCCTTAGCCAGCTCTGGCTTCCTTCCTTTTCCTTTCTAGCATGAATGTCTTCCTAAACCTGAGTTTCCTGGCTCTAGTCTCTGCTTCCCTCCCCATCACTGAGCCTGACACAGGATCTCCAAGCCCCCAAACACCCTTCCAAAGAGATAAAGCTATCATGCTTTGTAGATGATAAGCTTATTTAACTAGAAGACTCAGGATAATCTGTGAAAAACTAAGGTGACCAATGACCAAACAATATCTAGGGGAAAAGCCAAGCACCCTCAGACCTGCCCTGTCACCTGCCTGTCACGAAGGTTTCTCTCACAGGTGGGCTGCTGCCTAGAACCAGATGGGCTGAGAGCCATTCCCAGCCCTGGAGGCTCTCTGAGCTAAGGATTTGCTCTCTGAATTTGAGCGAATGCACATCCCTCTGTGAACCCCTGAACACCCTCAAATGCCGCGTCCATGGCAGCATAGGAAAGA